AGGACATTGAGCAGTGATAAGCGGAGGGTCTTAGACGCTGTATAACACAGCCCCGCCCCCACAGTTACCCCCAAACTCAAATATATCACAGGAGTCATGACCCGTCTGAAATATTGGGGACATTCATGACCTCTCTGAAATATCAGGGGGAGGGGTGGTTATGACCGCTCTGATATATCGGGGGCTCTCGACACTTAAATGTAGGGGAGGCATATTTTTTGTGCAAACCATACACCATAAGATTGATGGTTGTGCTATTCTTCTCCGTGCCACCAGGGAGACTCACCAGCTGTGAAGCTGATGAAGTGCTTCTGAACCACATTTCGCAGCCAAAGATGTATGCAGACGTTATCGTTTATAATCGTAATCGTAAATTTGCCGTTGGAGGAACTCTGTAAAGGTTTGCAGCGGTCAACGGATATTAATCAGTGAATAGCCAAATACGGGCTGTGTTTAGCTTTGACTCGAGCCAAACAGATATCAAAGATCTGGTAGCTATCTATCTAAAGCTTAATTACGAAAGATTGTCACCATCCGTCTTCAAAGCCTTCTACGGAGACAGCAGCCTCTCTTTGAACTAACACAGCGCGCTCCACCACAGGTAATTAAAAAGCACCAGACGTCTGGTTCACTCCTTTCCTTACCTAATACCAAGCCACCTATTATGTATTCAAAGATTGTTCAATTCGGAACTGTCTAATATATGGTATTGACCTTCGTCTTCTCGTAATACAGTCTAGGCATCACTGGAAACAGCATAAAATTTCCTGAGTCTAAAAGTCCCAGGAAATCTTATGCCTCTGGCAAATAGTATTAGCATTTCTTGGGGCAAAAATTGACATGAAATGTTGATTAATTTGAAGATTTCCTGAAGCATGAAAAATTGAATTGTGTTAGCATTTCCTGAACTTGGAAAATGTGTATGCATTCAGAGTTTTCACAAGATTTCCTGAGATCAGAAATGTTGGTAAAATTATATGCATTTACCTAGCTTTCTAAAAACACAAATATACAGAAAATAATGGGTTTGTTCAAGATTTCCTGGCTGAGATTATCATGGGGAACCATAAAATCACTTTAAAATTTCCTGAAATATAAACAGCACAGAAATTTTGGATTTGTTCAAGATTTCCTGGCTGACATTACCCTGAGGAAATGCTGAATTACGTCAGAATTTCCTGAGCACACAAACATTGGAAAAACTCCAGATTTAACTAAGATTTCCTTATGAACAAACACTGAAGAAATATTGAATACTATCAAGATTTCCTGAGCAAGTTTACTGTCACAAAATTATCATTTTCCCAAAATTTCCTGGATATGGAAATTTGAGAATGGGGAAATTTTGAGAAAATGATGATTTTCTGACAGTAATCTTGCTCAGGAAATCTTGATATTATTCAACATTTCCTCAGTGTTTGTGTGTCAGGAAATCTTAACTAAATTCAGAGTTTCTCCAATGTTTGTGTACTCAGGAAATTCTAATGTAATTCAGCATCTCCTCAGGGTAATGTTGACCAGGAAATCATAGACAAATCCAAAATTTCTGTGCTGTTTATATATTCAGAAATTCTAAAGTGATTTGATGTTTCCCCATGATAATTTCAGTCAGGAACTCTTGAACAAACCCATTATTTTCTGTACATTTGTGTATTTAGAAAGTTAGGTAAATACATTTAATTTTACCAACATTTCTGACCTCAGGAAATCTTGTGAAAACTCTGATGCATGCATGTTTTCCAATTTCAGGAAATGCTAACACAATTCATTTTTTATGCTTCAAGAAATCTTCAAATTAATCAACATTTCCTCTCAATTTTTGCCCCAAGAAATGCTAATACTTTTTGCCAGAGGCATAAGACTTCCTGGGACTTTTAGACTCAGGAAATTTTATGATGTCTCCAGTGCATGGTCCTTGTCCCAGGCCCATTCCTTGTCCAAAAGGCACGGTCCTCGACGGCTGAATCCACAGTGGACAAAATCCAAATCCAACCCTTGTTAACTCCAAAGGTAGAGTAGCTGCCTAGATGTGATTTGGTCAAGAGTCCTGTCTAGGAGCGACCATGTGGCATAACAATGGGGAGAACACTGACAGCGTAAAGAAAGAGACAAGCACAGATGCCCGAGAGCAACGGCTCTCATCAGCAAAAAAAATCAACAACCTCCTTTGAAAGGTAAGATAGGTGTTGATTAGCTGATGAGACCAGTGCCCTCGAGGGTAATCGGCTTTAACAACGGAGAAAAGAACTACACGACAGATCCTCGACACGAAATGGAAGAACCCACAATCAAGATTTGCTAACTCCAAAGGGAAGATATTCCTTGGTATATCAGACTGGTGTCGCGGAGCGTGCATAACGCTAGAGAAAAGGGCAAATACTATACATGATGTTCGTCAGTTGAGTGTGAGCTGTGTGCATGAGGTCGACTCGACATACCAAAGACGAGTAACCTTAGTTACAGCCTGCTATGGTAATGCATGGTATCCAGAATCCACACGGGTTAAAATGAGATGAGCAAACATTCCACAGGTGCAGAAGGAAGACTCTAGAATGCCATGGAAAATACCCCACCCGTCGTCGTCGTCTGCTGTCCATCGCATCCAACTCCTAAAACTACCCTCAGAACATAGTCTCGTGGCATCCATCCACCTTCGAGATACCGTTACCATGAGAAGGAGGAGGAGGAGGAGGTGGTGGTGGTGGTGGCGTATTTGCCGGACTAGATCCCAAAAGTGGAAACGCCGGGGGCTGTACACTCTGACTAAACTACGCCACATCAGGGCTTTATGGACTAAGCTATTGTCACTTGTGGTGCACTACAGGCATGACACGGCCAACCAAGATGTCAAGCAGCGATGTTGGGCAGCTCCAATGCACAGTCAACTCGGTCCCTTCCAGAGAGTTCGAGCATGAGGCATACCACCCTACTCCTACATACCTCCTTTCTGATTGCACCTTCTCACGCAACAACCATCACGCACCTCCACCTTCGGCTCATCTTATCGGGAGCCGCAGTGGTACGGTTTCAACACAACACCCGATGCACATATTGACCCAGGAGAGGCAGCAAGGAGGGCCGTGATAGCCATGTGACTACGCCTTTTGAATCCGGAACGGCTGTAATCGTTATACAATACTCCTCAGGTCTCCTTACCATGGTCCAAATCGACGACGACGATGGCAAGGCTTTACCTCCTCTATCCAGAGAGACTCTGTCACTAAGGGAGGCAGAAATAGCCTCCCTAAAAGTACCTGCGTTGCGCACAAAAAAAACCTAGAAGATTTTGAAGCTGAGATGGCTTTTCATAAGCATCAGTGGTAGGTCCTTCTGGCACAACAAGCGGAGCTGCGACACGCTTCTGATCACACCACTACACTTCTCGATCCCATCCATCGTCTTCTATACAAAATATTGCGTCCAACGCTCCGCATATCATGTCCTGGCTTATACCCAGGGACGGCAATCTGTCATCCTGCACAGTACGCAATTTTTGCAAGGCACGGTTGGAATTGCTGCTGATTTGCGAGCTATGGGCACGCATTTTCAAGCACATGTATTCCATTTGGTCCTAGATTTTTATGGCTCCATGGTTTTCCTATTTGCGTACTGAACACTCCATTAAACCTTCAAAGTCACACCCATTCGACGTGTACCTCTTTGATCAATTGATGTTCAAGGCGCATACCACCAGACAAGCATCTCCCTACCTATTACGCACCAACTTTGCACAAACTCACCTTTTATCTATTGAAACCACTGAAGCAATCCATGTCTATAAATACTTCAGTGGACGACTGTATTTATACCTGCATTAGAGGTGCTTCGTGCGGGTGACGGGTCTCCATCGATCACGGGTTCTTTGGTCACCCTCCACACGCCGAATTTAATTTCACTTGATATTGTTTCAAGTTATGGGTTTCTCGATCGCTTCTCATCAGATTTTCTACGTAATCTTCAGAATTTGAAGGCGACATCGTTGGATGTAAATACCCTTTTGAAACTTAGCAAAGCAGCATTAAACCTCAATATTATCGACATCCGGACGCGTAGTGGCCTTTGCGAAGTCACCACCCGTCATTGATCTTCCCAGCGTGCGTTCACTCTTTATGTCCAGTACGAAAGCTCTCTGCATCCCTCCTGCTCTACAGTGCCTTCGGATGCCTCAACTTCACTGGCTGCACCTAGAATGTGTCCAAACTGATGCTCCCGGAGTTCCCGGTCCATTGGCCTTCTAATGGCCCAAACTCGAAAAATTTCAGCTAAAACGATTCTTTCTGGCTCCCTTCAAGAAACAGCATGAAGCACTATTCAAATCCGTGCCTTCATTGAGGTGTCTTTCTCTAACGAGATGCGTCATATCCGTGGATTTCTTTGGCCGTATTACAGAGATGTCCTGGACACAAATGTATGTTCAAAGCTGGAAGATTTCTCTCTCAGAAACGAGTGCATCTTGTGACCATCTTGTACTATTCATTGTTTTACGTGCTCGAGGCGTACATACGAAAGTATCATTCAATATATACTTCGGTGACTCGGACAATGTCTCATTCCTAACGGAGGTAAAGCAGACATTTAATTTACTGTCGAGCGCAGATCAACAGAAACCTTATTGACGCTTTCCCGGCGGTAACATAGAAAGAAAATTTTCCAGGATTTGATGAAGAGTAAGTGCCAGTTATTATATGGCGCACCAGTGAGTTCATCTACTAATTCTATCATTACTGCGAGCTAACCTAGGTTGTCCCTTCACCTTACATTACCAACGATGATTATTTTCAGTCCAATACATAAATTTTCCCCTGCGTTGCTATCCGGGTATCACTTAAATTCTTCTGTCTTTATAACTCTTATTGATTTGACGTAATCTCATGTAGTATATTCTTTTTTTCAAAGATATTCGATGTCAATCCCCTTGAAGTGATTGAATTTCAAACATACTAGTTGGTCGAAAAGTAACAAAGCAGTACCTCAACTATCAATACCACTGATTAAATTAACTGCCCCAGAGCGGCTCAAACTCTCGAGCTTCCGATTACAATCTTCTAAAGATAACAGTCGGACGCTATAGCCAATTAAGCCATGGGGCATACACTCATGTATACCACAGGTGCCACCATCCAAGCTAGTTAAACCACGCGCTCAAACAGCAGAAAGTACGTATGAGAATCAAGGAAAGGTATAATACATGAGTGTTAACGTTAAGCAAGAAGTTATTTAGCTAATAAAATATTATCCAGCACGACTGCTTAGCGCACCTTCATTGGCAACCCATCCAGCGTCACTCCAGTCGCCATAAGTAGCGTCCCTGACTCTAACATATAGAATAGAGTCCATTCCAATTACCAAGACCGACAATGCACCGGGTGAATGACTGATAGGTGTAGGACGATAAGCAGTCTGTACCTTGAGATCCTGCCAGCCAGACCAAGTGCCTTTGACGCATCGCCTATGAAATACGGAGTTATTTAATCCTTTGACAATAAGATCGATATGGTCTGGATGGCAAGTGACGGCATCAACTGTTAAGAAAGGTCCAGAGGGAACCTCACTTAAGGATATGGTTCCTTTCCCTTGATATGGCGAGAGGATTAGAGATTGGTTGATAAAGAGCTATAATCACGGCTTACGGTTGGATACGCAATTTACGTGACCATTAATATCAATCCCGAATACGTCCCAGTGACCATCCTGATTAGAGACAGCCGAAAGAGAACCGCCCCAAAGCCCCGGGAGCTTTTCCGGTTTTGCCCACCCGGATTCTTCAGTCCAATGGTAATGGTAAAGGCGGCCATCAAGATGGCCAATTGCGAAGCAAGACACTTCACCTTTTCCTGCACTCACAGCAGCCGGAGTGTCTCGAAAGGTTCCTCCAAGTGATTCGTAAGTTGATTCACTTGGTGTGTAAGCCACACCATTCCAAGACTTGTAGTACAGGCAATGGTCCGTGCCAACATGGAATATATGCACGACTCCACCCTTGCTCTTTGTGACGGCTGGAACACCTGGTAAACAGCCACCAAGAATCTTGAGAGGTGTGACAGTGTCGGGTGCACCTGGGTTGAAGTTCAGTTGGCACAGGCCGTGACCGTTCAAATCAACGACGAAGACGCTAGTTTCGTTTTGGATACGAGAAACTGAGACAGGTTCGTACATCCATAAATGACCCGGGCAGCTGAGGACATTCCAGGGCTTTGTCCAGGCACTGTCGTTCCCGGGTGTGTTCTTTTTCCAATAGAGCTGGGAGTCGTACCCTAAACAGAAGGTTTTCATTTGACCGGGAGCGGGTGATGTCATGATGGATATGAATTGATTCTTCTAAAATGGGTCTTCTAATGAGCCATTTTTATTATTTCTTGAGAGAAAACAAAGAACTTACTCTAAGAAGGGGCAATTGATTCTGGTTGATGAGCAGTGTACAAGTCTTCGAGCTTTTATAATTTTTAAGTACTGTTAGACGATCAACAGTCATGGACGCATGTATGCAAAACGTAAAACGTAAAACATTTATTGAGGCGGCACAATGGCTGATTATACGTACGCCAAGGGATATCCCGCTCATCAGTTAGTATTAATACACACGGCGATTGAACTTAACAAAATTAAATTGATCGTCAGGACATTTCGGCGCTGCTTAACATCATTGCATGAAAGCTGTGTTACTGTTCCTACGCTTTATACATCTGACGCCATAATTAACGGCTAAAATTAAGGTACCGACACCTACGCAGTACGCGTGCAGGGGATCCGTGCTCAACATAGTTTCGTCGAAATTAATCTAACCCGCCAAGGGCGTATTTATTGATAGTAAGATGACGCAGTCAAACGTTATGTAAAAATACTTACCGTACCCTATAGATAAACAAATCAGATTCTTTTCCAACGCGTCAATTTTAATTGCAGTTCAGAAGAAGAGGTCGTTAAAAAAGAAAGCGAGCAACGATATGAGTCCTTTTCGTGGAGCTCTCAGTATCAGGTTTTAACTTAACCCTAGCCGCAGAAAACGCCCAAAAGCACCTACGGCCAATATTACATCACCCATGCGCTTTCGTAGAGTAAAGGATGTACCGGAATTTTCCACGGGAGTCGCCAAAGGCAGAGCGGGGCAGACTTTGGCGCACCGGCGTAGCACGGCCCTGCCATACGCGGGCCGGCAAGCCTCCCTTCTCACGTTCGCCAATTTCGTTTTAAATAATGGCAGGATTAGGCTGGATAGTTCGTTATCCAATCAGAGTTTTCGCCAGTTCGTGAGGGTCGATATAAAATCTCGAGGATTAGATACTATGATTCACAGTAATATCCCCTAGTTCAAGGTATGTTCTATCAGCTTTACCCGGCATTATCAATGGAGTCTGACCTGCTTCAGATGGTTTCCGTCCAACCAGGCCACATTAGTATGCATTGCCTTGGAACAAACCATGGACTATTTCGAACATATAAAGGCCCCGAGGTTCCCGATACCACTCAACCAGCCGGTTGGGCTAGCGAATCCAAGCTCGGAACGTGGTGTTTTTCACCTGTCGTCATCTCACGAATCAAAGACGAATATTCATGTTTTATGGTAGACTGTAACCACAAACTCTGTCAATCTGACTTCGACCTTACCTCGACAGTTGGAATGCAGCCGTTTACAGTCCTGGGAGGAGAGCTTGGATCTCAGCCGATTATTTGCAGTCGCGCAGGCACCCTTCATATCTTCCACGTTGGGATGGATCGTGCGATTTACTATAAGGCTTGGGATGGTGTAAATTATTATCCTAAGAATGGGTTTGAACGACTTGAAGGGTGTTTCCTTGACGATCCGGCTGTCGTCTCTTGTGGCGAAGGTGGAGTGGCGGTATTTGCGATTGGAGCTACGACTGGGAAGTTACATCATTACCAATGGACGGAGAAAGAAGGATGGAAGCTTCAGGAAGACGTTGAAGGAAATTGGAGCGGAGCTTTGTCCGCCGTTAGTCTCAACGACGGGTGCTGGGAGGTCTTTGGACTGGATCTGAAAGGCCACATTATCAGAGTCAGTTATTCTAAAGATGCAGATGGTACGTACGAATAAAAACACCTAATTTTATATCGCTAACTCGTGACGAAGGCAAAGGGACTATTAAGCGTATGAAACTGGAAGGATCGTTCAAAACTCTTTCAGTAATAGTCTCTGCTAAGAATCGCATCGACCTCATCGCACTCGATTGGAACTGTTCTCCCTACCATAAGTCGTGGGATGATGGTGACGAAGGAGCATGGGAACATATTGTAGGTCAACTTCGGGAACGGCCTTGGCTGGTATGTGCCCGTCCTGGCGGTGTGTGCTTGTATTCCGTGTCATTTGGCTACGTCCCTGCTGTAATGGTAAGGAATCCCTCCAATGGAGCGTGGGATGGATGGCATTTTATTCAGGGAACTGTCATTGGAGGAGTTGCTTGATCCAGTGCTTGTAACAGATACTTATATTGTATAACGATAGTCGGAGGATTTCATGTGCACAAATTATAGGGCATTTGGTATAACAGCCTGAACGGCGAACATCAGCGGGAGCCACCGTCTGATTCCTTGGCTCAGTTGGTAGAGCGTTGGTTTCATAGACTCTTATGAAGGCGGATACGCCACCAATCCAAAGATTGTCAGTTCGAGCCAGGCAGGGAGCAGCTTGTTTTTGCATCGACGTGAACATTCTGCACACTTGACGATCGACCGCCTTTCTGAGTTTTTATAAGTTCGGGCTGGTGATCTCTCATCTATGAGGACGGCTGGAACATATTGGGCCTTCCTATTGCTAGAGACAGCCAATTTACAGTGGTAAATGTGCGGCTCTCGTCAGTCAGAGATGAAGTATAAAGATGACCCACATGTTCTTTTTTCCAATACAGTTCGGAGCTGAATGCTAAGCAGAAGGTCCTCGTTTACCCGAGAGCGGGTGATGCCACGGTGGATATGAATGATTCTTCTAAAACAGAGTTATTCTTATTATTTATTGAGAGACACAAGAGCACTTACTATAAGAATTAATCTCTGTGTATGAGTCATGGAGATTTTATAAAATTCAGCTACTGTTAGACGTTCAACAGTCTGAGACTAATGTGTACAAAACGTAAAACCCTCCTCGAGGGGGCATCAATGGCTTAGGATATTATACGTGCGGCGAGGAATGTCTCCTTCATGAGCCAGTAACAATCAATTCGCACGGCGATTGAACTGATAAAATTAAATTGATTGTCAGTGCATTTTGGCGCTGGTGACCATGCATTGCATGAAGTATCGGTTGATCTTCCTATCTTTCATACATCTAACACCACAGTTAACGGCTGAAATGCTGGCACGAACGCATATACAATACGCATACATGGATTAGATTTCGACGTATTTTCATCAGAATTTATCTAATCTAAAGCGAAAGGTGTATCTGATGATAGTAAGAAGACGTAGATAAAAGTTAGGAAAATACTAACTCGAACCTCCGAATAAATGAATATATTAATTGCTATTCTGAGGAAGAGGAGTTCGTTAAAAAAGGGAATTGAGCAGTCAGGTGGTGTGATGGAATCCGGAAAACGCCTGCCTATGGCTCATTCGGCTTCAGATATGGGCTTTGGCAACGTAATAAAGGTGCATACCGGAATTTTCTACAGGACTCGTCAAAGACAGAGATGGGCATACTTTGGCACGTGCCATACGCCCGACAAGCCTCCCTCCTCGTGTTCGCTAATTGGTTTTGAATAATGGCAAGATTGAGCTGAGAATGTCGTTATACAAATATTCGACCATTTTTCAATGTCGATAAAAGATCTGGAAGTTTTCATACTACGATTTACACTCATCCCCTACTTCAATGTATGTTCTATCAGCTTCACACGACATTATCAATGGAGTCTCACCTTCTTTCAGATGGTTTCGGTCCAACCAGGCCACTTCACCATGCATATAATTGGTATAAAGTATGGACCATTTCGAGCGGATAAAGGTCAGGAGCTTCCGGATACTTCTCAATCGGCCAGCTTTGGAGGTGACGAAACCAAGCTCGGAACATGGTGTTGTTCACCTGTCGTCATCTCGTGAATCCAGGACGAATGTTCTTGTTTTATAGTAGACCGTAATCATCAACTCCGTCAGTCAGACTTCAATCTTACTACGACAGTTGGAATGCAGCAGTTTAGGGTCCTGGGAGGAAAACTTGGTTCTCAGCCGATTATTTGTAATCGCAGGGACACTTTATATCTTCCGTGTTGGGATTGATCGCAGGATTTACCATAAGGCTTGGGATGGCGTAATAACGACGGTTGCTAGGAGGTCCTTGGACTGGATCTGAAAAGTCACATTGTCAGAGTAAATTATTCCAAAGACGCAGAAGGTCCGTACGAATAGGAACACTTTCTTTTACGCCAGAGCTCGCGACGAAGGCAAATGGACTATTAAGCGAATGAAACTGGAAGGATCATTTAAAACTCTTTCAGTAATAGTCTCTACCAGGAATCGCACTGACCTCATCGCACTCGATTGGAACTGTTCTCCCTACCACAAGTCGTGGGATAATGGTGACGAAGGAGCATGGGAACATATTGTAGGTCAACTTTGGGAACGTCCTTGGTTGGTATGTGCCCTTCCTGGAGGTGTGTGCTTGTATTCCGTTTCATTTGGTTATGCTCCTGCGCATGCTGTAATGGTAAGGAATCCCTCGACTGGGGCGTGGGATGGATGTCACTTTATTCAGAGAAACGCCCTTGGAGGAATTGCATGAGCCAGTCTTCGTAACGTGGGCGTACCTATATTGGATAACGATAGTTGTATTACTTGCGGACAAATATAATGCATTCTTGATATATCGATTCGAATGGCGAGCATGAGCTGAGTTGATCAATTGCTTCATTGGTTCAGCTTGTAAATATCTCCCGATGTCTTCCGTCAACATCAATCTCATGCTAGATTCGGACGGAACAACGTAATCTATCATCAGTTCATCTACTTATTCGCCGATAGAACCGGACGTTTAGAAAAAACCTGGCTGTTGGCATGCTATACGATCTCTCGAGACGTGTGAGCAGCGGTGGTGGTCGGCGGTACTGATGGCTGGAGCGGTGAAGGTCCGTCATAACATAGCAGATCGGAGGATCGGAGATGGCCAAGAGAGTCGATATATTTCATGTTGAAGCATTAACAGACGTTTATGATATAGATATACTACGAAAGGAGATCAAAAGATGCGGGAAGGTTGACAGTGAGGCTTGTCGCAAACGCACCTCATAACGACACTCCAAAGGGTGCCATCCAGTCGATTACCGATCACAATAAAACATAGGATCCAGGAAACGATGTATTGGACGGCGCTGATCATACACCGCCTTGTTCGTATGAAAGTTATGCATAAATAACTTTGTCCTACCGCGCAAACGAACGAGAGTGAGCAGAAGGTGTCCACGTCGGTCGGTACGGATTACAATGCGCATAGAGAGGGGCCTCGGGGTCCATATATGATTCTTGATACATGTTATCCACAATATCTAGAGAAATAATAGAGAAATGGCTGTGAGAGCACGAGATGAGTTCAGCGTGCAGTTACGAGCCGCAACGTCGATACGCATCGTAAAGCCAACATAAAGCTAACCAAACTCGGAGAGAACAGCAGAGAACTTTAATTTAACTTGAAGTCAAGGTAGAGAGTCATCGTTAGTGCGCTTGTCGACGTGTAGTTCAGGATTGCAGCGCAACGGTGAGGGCGAGCGGAGCCAAGGGTAGGTAAGCGATAAGCGCCCTAACAGGCACTGGGGTGGCCCTCGGAAGGCTTATTTTTGTACCCCTAACCCTAACTTAACCCTAATCTAACCTCTCCTATATCTCGATTTCTAGGGATCGGGGATGGAAAGCATGGCTAGGGCACAGCCAAACGAGTCTGAAAATAACCAAAATAGATCTTTTTAGCAGAGGATTAATATTTTTGGCCTCAAAAGTCTTTTTCTACCGGTTCTCAGCTACTAAGCGCCATCTAAAATTGATCGTACGATACGCTTCTTCGAAGCACAGTGACACAGATGGCGAAAACGAGTGGGAATGCTGCTGAGAAAGAAATGAGCCTGTGAGTCTTATCTACTATCTGAGAGTGGATCCCTCGTACCCAATAAGGTGTTTTAGCTCAAGTTGAAAAAGGTGGTTTGCGAGTGCGGGAAGACTGTCGGTGGAGGTTCGAACATGAAGCAGCATTTGAAGGGAGCTTCTCATCGTGAAGCAATGGCGAAAATTAATTCTGCAAAAGCGCAGTGTTCGGTCGCCGATATCTTTAAGAAGAAGGACCGAACACTAAAACACTCTACAACAGCAATCCCAACCCCCTCGCCCCTCACTCATGACGTCCCCATTCGGAATAGCCCACAGTCTTCAAGCAAATCCTTCCTTATTAGACGATTTCAGGAATGCATCGCACGGCTTCCATCAACAGTTCCACAGGCAAATCCCAATCATGCTCTGGCGCAATTCGCAGTTCTCCCAACAATTAATTCGATATCTGAAGATCAGTGGGAAGTGGTGGATCCAATCCTCAACAGGCTAATCGGGGCTGATATTCCTCCATCAGCATTAAGGAAGCTTGTTTGTAAAGGGCGGTATGGTCTTGACGGGCTCTGTGATTGGCTGGATGTCTATGTTTCCCATAAACTGATTTTGGAAGCCCTTCTGGAACCAAAATTAGAGAGATTGATGGAAGTAATGGGAGAATTGTAGGTCCTGAATGTACTTCAAGGAACACTTGTCTAATATGTTGACATTATCAAGCTTCGAATCAACCTCCACATGTCAATTCCCTGAAGATACATCTGGATTATTATTGTTCCCCAGCAAAACACATGTCGCTTCTCAAGAGATTATTGATGTTGATATGATATCCGATGATGAAGCTTTGCCGCAGCCTCAGACAGCCCCCTCCACTGTTGTTAGCTGCCAAGTCCAAAACCAATGTATAACATGCCGTGGCTTTGAGATCAAGCTCCCGGCTGGTCAATCCCCCTGGACCAGCCACCCTTTTGCTGTTCATGCAGACGAGAATTTACCATGGAAGCCTGTTATCAGAGGAGAAAGGCTATTCCTTGTTGCAGATGCTTGCTTAAAAAAATGCTACATGCACCCTTGCACGAAGTGTTGCACTATTGGGCAGCACAACATCGTTGTAGGGATCATTGATAGAATGGAATTTGGTGCCAAAGAAAATACTCCCTACAAATGGCTCTCCCATACTCAGATGTGCCAGGTCGTAGAACGCCATTCAAGATTGGCTGATGAGCTTCGTCTCAATTCACTCAATATGGGAAGAAAACTTGCAAGCCGTACAACTGTATTAGAGGAGCACAAAAGATTTTTATTATGCATTGCTAGTGGTAAGTTTGCAGTCTCTTGTTTTATTGCTTCGCCTTGAGAACTTACTTCAACTCAGGAAAGGTTCAACGGATGCATGCTCTTGTGTCTGTTGGACTTCGAAATGGTCTTGGAATTTCTAGTTTATTGGAGAAGGCTATGAAAGCGGCGCAAAATCTATATTCACCACGAGGCTATGATGAAAGAGATTACCGCATTGCAACGTTGCTGTGGCGGTGGAGAGGTGCCCGTGCAGCTGAACTAGCCCACAAAGTCCTGAAATTACCCTCATTACGATCAGTTCGCAATTACA